CAAAAAATAATAAATAAATAAAAATACTTCCTGGGAGGTATTTGCTGCTCTCCAGAAATTTATATAGGGCTATGTTTTCAGAATGAGCCTGGGTTGAGGTTATGGGTGACCAAAATTTTTTAATTTTAATGAAATCAGCACTAAACCAACATTGTTACTCTGCAGTTTTTTTTTTAACTGTATTTGATAGCAACTTTGTTGCTCATCTGTTGTTAAACTGGTGACTGTCATTGGTAACTATTTTATGTTTTTAGTGGGGAATTTAGTGGGCAGTTTGCATAAATTTGTACAATCTCAGTAATTCATTTTTGTAAATACTTCTTAAAATTGCACCTTGACAAAGATGTGGAAAGAAATGTGTAAACATGGAATGAAATATATTTTGCTAAAGAGCTTATCAAATATAAAGGGACACGATTTTTTGATTAAAACACCTTTTATGCAAAAATGACTTTTGTAAGCTGTTTGGACAGAAAAAATGTGTGTAAGAATATTATGTATATTAGATTAGTATAAAACACAAGTCTTTGTTATGTACCATAAAAATAAACCAAAATCAAAAACCCAAAGATTTTGAGGCCAACCACACCAAGACATATCAGTGTGGGTATCTCTACCCCCTAATATTGATTTACAGTCATGTATTATCTTGTCCTATTAGGTATTATCACGTCCACATAATAAGATTTGGAAAAAAAATTGGATTAAAATATGGATCTCTCCCAGTTACCTGTGATCATGCTTCACCATAACTAATTAACTACAACTGTGTTTATATTTTACCTATTTATTTTCATTTATATAATTTAATTAATAACACTTTGTATTTTACAGTTAACTAATAAAAACTAATAGTTTTGTTTAACAATGTGCCAGTTCACTGCAAAGGTGGCTAAAGTTAGAGTTGCAGTACTGATCAGAAATTTGTTGTCATGTCAATACCCACTCCCATTATAAGTGCTTTATATTGATGGCCACAATAAAAGCTCTGCTGTTTTTGTGCTGTGTGACTCTCATCTTTTATCAGCTTTCGTGGTCTTGTTTGACAGCTTTCAGCCTTACTCTGCTTAACACTACCATGATAATAGGTTTGGAATAATTTAGCTCATTAATGAACATGATTTCTGCAGGAGTCTATAGCTAATGAACACCACAAATCCCATGATTCCTGTCGCTTACTCATTTTCCTTCATGTATATCAAGAGTCATCTCAGCAGAATCCCTCTGATAATTATTTTACACTTCGGATGCCTTTCCAGCAAAAACCCTCAGTGCTGGGAAACACCTATTGTGTTATTTCAATGACAAATGGCGAGAGAACATTCATGTAATACAGGTGTGCAAATCTCGTTGCTCACATGCCGATTTCTTCTGTTCTGCACAAAACTGCTCACAAGCTCTCAAAAGCCTCGTTTCCTCATTAAAGACATTAAATTACAGAAATTTAATTAAATTAAAACTTCTGGTATCAATTTCTGTTCAACCTCTGTAATTTTACAGCAAATTTCTGTAATTCAATGACTGTTATTTAACGTTTTTTAGGGCACCCCAGCTGCTGGATATAAACAGGAAAATTACATATTTTTTTACACTGTACTGTTTGGTGTGGTTCAGTACGGGTCACCTTTATCAGGCTTATGTTTGACAGAAAGTTAGTCGACGTCATTCTCGCTTGAAGTTCACATATCATATGAGAAGCACTTCTAACTAAACTAATGCTTTATATACTTGAATACTTATGTTTAAGTATATGTTATATTACTAACCTTTCTTTGAACAGGATTTGGTTATAGATGCAGATCAGTGATAATGCGGAATAGCCTACTGTAACGTCTGTGATTATAAAAAATTTGAAAAAAACTTATAGTATGTGAAATGTTATGAATTACAAATAAAAAACAACCAAAACATACATTTAGGCCTTTGTGCAGCATATATTTGAGAGTGCTCGAGCAGTTTTGCGCTACTATGTCTTTGTTTGTTGTGAATATGCACCCTCAAGTGGTGAAAATTGCATACTGTGTCTTTAGGAGTACGTCATAACTACAAACTATGAATCTACCTGCAGGTCTAGTGATGTAGTTCCAACAACACAAATCTAATGCTGTTTACTAATGTTTCTTGAATTATTGTTTTAGATAACTCCTGATGGTTGAGCTTTGTAGAATTATATTGAAAAAAAAACTGAACCAGCAAGGAAACTAGCCTTTTTAGTGGGATAGATTTTAGCTTGAGATCCCCAAGAAGGGTGCTTTCTTCATTGTGGTTCATTGACATCTGATTCAAGCAACGGCTTTCTCACTGAAGACATTTGTAGAGAGTCAATTTGGGATTATGAGACCAATTACCCTAATTACTTTCCTTTGTGTTGTTCTTTCCTTTCAACTCGCTCTGTCTCACGGTTGTTATTCCTCTTTTAGATGCACTCGCATTCGGTGCTGTTCTGTGGCTTCATCTTTTGGGCTGATATTGCCTCATAGTTTGGGAAAGTCCCCCTACAAGAACACAGGCCAATTTTTTCCATCCCAGGACTGCTGACACACCCTAAAAGGCAGAGATTTTAACATTTTAAGCAGAGTTTGGTCTGAGTACTAATGTGGCTGATAGAAGAAAATCATCTAATTTCTTTGTCATCTGTTCACTCATATGGTTACGTTATGTACATCTGCAGTAGTAAGATTATCAACCTTTATGGTCTTTGGCTTTTCCTTGTTAAATGAGGAAAGAAATGTATAGACACGCTACACATTTGCACATACACCCACAACTTCTGTCACATTAAATCTGTTCAACTCGCATCTCGCCCGACAAGACAGTTTAACAGAGCTGTAACGAGCACACCAAGGGCGTTCAGATGCCAGGATGGAAAGAAAAAGAGTGTTTTTTTTTCATTTGATCTTTTTGGTGGCAGAGAAATTAGTATGAGCAGATTATTATTTTTCCTTTACAAAGGCACTCATGGAGGAAGGTAAAACATACAATAGAGCAAAAGCTGCCTCACTCTTAAAAGCGACTTCGATATTGAGACTTTTTTTTTTCCCCTGACAAACTCAATAGACACGGAAGCCCATTACAAGGGCGTCTTATTAGTGTCGACTGATTTTACAAGATTGCTATCTATGTATAATTAAGCCCCAAGCGCATCCAGTCACATTCGAACATGCTATCTTTTGATAACATATTCTCATGACGCCCAGGAGCTCTTTTGATAAGTAATAAAGAGAGACAATCTGATCTGGCACATCAACTCCATGATTGGCTTCTCAGTCTGCCGAACTTCTGAACAAAAGAACGCATCAGTACATATATTTTTGATGTCAAGTTTTTATTTATTAATTTTGCTTTTTTTTTCTTTTGCTCTAGGTTATATTTCACTTTTGATATCTTTTATTATGGGAGACGTGACTTGTTCAAGTGAAAGCTTGGATGCTTTCAAAGCAATCATTAAACTTTAGAATAGACGTACTAATTCAAAAATATACACTTTTTTAGGATGAAACTTTGTCATTATGAGTAATCTGAGCTTCTGGAATCATTCACCGCAATCAACTACTCTGTCATTTTAATCACATATCTTTTTTTTATGCATGTACGCTGTCAGGTGTATGAGGAAAGACTAAGAATAATTTAGAATTGTGCAACTTGAGACCATGAACTAATGGCATTTAATGACATACTGTATTACAGTAAATTGTTTTTTAATATGCAGTGATGTGTGTGCAGCGTGTGTTCACTCTGTAAAGGAATATTCATCAGGACCTGTTGCTAAGCGATGGAAAGCAAGACAGGGATTCAACGTATATATATTTATATATTTATGTTTTATTTATAGTTCTGTTCTTGAAGGATATCTTGTACACAAATATCCCATTGGCAGTTAAGCGCATTCAATGTGTTTAGAAGCCATAAACAGTCACTTTTTCGAACAAACACAAATACAAAATAAAAATAACAACAAAATAATGGACCGCATGTAAATAACATACAAAAAATCCCATGCCTACTCAGTAGGTAACTACAGCATTCCGACTCCTCAAGATGTAGATATGTACATTTCCATTACAAAAATATAGTTTATAGTTTTCTTTTTTGCTTACATCCCAAAGAAATGCAGTGCCCTCGTATCCTTTCCCTTCTTTCCTTGAAATGACTTTCTGAATATAGAAAAAAAGAAAGGAGAAAACAAAATCCCTTACACCTTAAGGCTAGATGCAACGCATCCACACACTGATATCTGTCAAAACGTCTGCAAGGCTTTACAAAAGGCACCAAAAAAATTGAAGATTTGTGGTTGAATCTTTTCTGATGTTTTTCCCCTCTGTTTAACAGGTTTCTGTTGTCACATTTGAGAAAGAGAAATATAGTACCAGTGGATGATATTTACAAAATAAGAGAAACTAACATCACTCTTCCACATGCGTCAGAATACTTAAGTGCTTCTAGTCAAACAAAGTCAAGAACTTATCACAGCATTTTTACTACATAATACAGAATGTATCTTATAAAATATGGCCCTGCTCAAGAATAATACAATGCAAATATTCAAATCAATTGTCACAACAATGGTACTAAAAAGTATAAACAAAAAGGAAACATGGCACATGTACAATATACTGTAGCTTATGTATATTATTCAAATGTCTTTTGTAACTGTACACCTGTCGAGCCTCAAGCCCACAGGCTTCGATTACACCCTTTAGCCATTCCGCGTCGCAAGTACGTCTGTACACAAACAGTCTGAGGGAAAACTTGCAGAAGCCTGTTGCTTTTGTTTGTCATTTGAAAGTCTCATATGCCTCATTTGAAAGGATGGGATTCGAAGGGAGAGAACAACACACAAAAAAAATCCCTTTTGTTTTTAAACGTCTTTGCCGTGTCCTTGACTGTTCTGTAACTGTGCCATGTTGTGAGCATGGGCAGAAAAGTGCTTTTTGCAGAGGGGACGTAAAAGTCATAGATGCTTTCTGAGTCAAGGGAGAGCTTGGAGTTCTGGGGAAGTCTCAGCAGATGTCGGCTGTCCGAGGGGAAAGCGCAGACTGCATGTCGGGCAGTGGGGTGGTGACAGGAGAACTGTAGATGTTACTGGCCACTGAGGTCGGGAAGGAAGTGGCCACCTGCGTCTGGAAGGTGCTGGTGGCCGATGGGTACGTGGTTGCAATGGACGGGGAGGGGTAGGAGGTGTGGACCGGAGATGAGTAGCAGGAGTTGACTGGAGACGGGAAAGAGGAGACCGGAGAGGGGTAAGAAGTGATGGGAGAGGGGTAGCTGGACACTGGTGAGGAAGCTGAGATGGAAATGTTTGAAACTGAGCTCTGCACTGCAGCAGTGGCACCTTTCTCTGCTTTCTTGTCCTTCTGCCGCATGTGGATCTTAGTGTGGCGCTTGCGCTCGTCGCTGCGGGCAAACTTGCGGCCACAGATCTCGCAGGCAAAGGGCTTCTCGCCTGTGTGTGTGCGAATGTGGGTCGTCAGGTGGTCACTGCGGCTGAAGTTGCGCATGCAGATCCTGCACTGGAATGGCTTCTGTCCTGTGTGGATGCGGATGTGGCGGGTCAGCTCGTCTGAGCGTGAGAAGCGCCTGTCACAGGTCTCCACAGGGCATGCGTAGGGGCGCTCGTGAGGTGGTGTCTTGCTTGGCCGGTTAGGATACTTGCGCATGCGACTGGGCTTGATGAGCTGAGACTGGTAGACGCTTTTCAGGTCCTGTGAACCCGTTTGGGTTGCAAAGGCCTTGATGGTGTGCAGCGGCGTCAGGGCGGGCTGCTGACCCGCTTGTGTCTGGATGGGTTTCTGATCTGGTGGCACCAGGCTGATCTCACTTTGCTGCTGTGTAAACAGGTAGTCAGGGATCATTGGCACAGAGAAGCTGGGGTTACAGGTCTTGGCACTGGGATATGTTGATGAGGAGTACTGCAGTGAGGTGCCCACCGTGGTTGAGAAGTTAGGGCCAGACTCAGGGAAGATGTCTGGGCTGGCACTGGAGTAGGTGGGAGCTGCCGAATAGATGGGGTTGGGCTCACTCTGGTGGACGGAGCAGCTCAAGCTGGCGCTGGATGTGGATGACGAGGACGAAGAGGGGATGGAAGACGTGGAAGAGGAAGAGGGGTGAGTTGCCTGAGAGGTTGAGGACGGGATGGAGGCTGGGGGTGGGTTGATGCCCACCAGCCCACTCACCAGGCTGAACAGAGGCTCAGCCCATAGACTGTTACTGCAGTTGGTGGCGGGTTCAAGGGTGAAACGGCCTGTGTAGGATATGGGAGGCAGCCGTTGGGTGGAGTAGGTCTGATCTGACAGAGGTTTCTCCATGGAAATTTCTGAAAGCGTATCTGCAAAAGCAAGCACAAACACAGAAAGAGAGTGGGTTAGAAACTATTGCATGACTTGTTAACTCAGTTATTTTAGTGCATATAAATGATTCCAGAGGTGATTTATTTGGGGGGTCCTGCTGGCTGTCGAGACTCTGTTTTCCCACAATCTCAGACAGAGCAGCAGGTGCTGATGGAGCGCAAAGGGTACCCCCCACCAAACCACATATACACACACACACGCACACACATTTGCCGATCTTCCTCAGAGACAAGAGCCAGCGCAAGCTTAACCATCTACATGTGCATTTCTCTCGACAGTCTCTTTATCCTTACTCACATCCTGATCCCTTTTTCACATTTGCACAGCTTAAATTTATTCAAAATGCACTTTAAAAGACTGAAAAGCTGGGTTTTAAAATGAAGCTATTCTCTTAAATGCTTCATTCATTCCTTAGCTTTTACAGTGACTCCATATTAACTGCTGTCAGCTTTAATTTAAATGATATTTTTACTTTACATCGATGCAATATTATTTATACACATTATTAAAATAACTCCACCATGTATAACTTTATATTTAAATGAAGAGGACGCTAAAATATCACATTTATCATAACACATTTATTACTTATTTAAATGTCAGCATTTTTATGCACATGCAAACTCTTGCAAATCTAGTTATGAAAGCAGCATGCAATTTAATCAAGAGGGATTTAGTGCTTACCTCCAGCAAGGTGATCAAACTGCTCCCCGGGCTCCCCGGAGCCAAAAACAGCGCCTTCAGGTGCTGTGGCGTTGAGAAAGGGGGTCCCTGCAGAGTTCAGCATGATCATCTCCTCCAACTTGGGGTAGTTATCCGTGGGGGAGTGAGGGAAGCTCAAGGGGTCGGAGATCTGCAGAGCAGGCAGGAGCATCTCTGTCTTGGCTGCAGCCATCTCTCTGGAGTGTGCTCGGAGAGGAGAGAATTGTGCTGGAGAAATCAGCAGCTAACCCCTCTGGGACGACAAATGTGAAGATGCTGCGATGTCTGACTCCCCTTGTTTCTGGTTGATCTCCTCACTCTCACAGTTTGTCTTCTTGTTTGTCTTCCTCTTCTCCTGTGTGACGGTCCAAAGAGGCAGAACAAATCCACTGTCTCAGATAAAATAGCTGAGATTCTGAATATCCCTTCTGTTCATTCCCTACTTCAAACTTGCACTTTTAAAAACAAATCAGGTTGCTGTTTTGTTTCTGTTGTTGTTGTTGTTGTTGTTTTGAATTGAGTTGTCACATTTATTTAATGTGTCAAAATGTATTTGATTATATATATATATCGCAACGTGTTGCCTATCAGCTCTCTGCACTAGTGCTGAATCGCTTGGGCTCTCTAGGCTCTTTCACTGCTCAGAGAATCCCTACTCCTTTATATATCCTCTTGCCGTGACGTAGATGTCCATATTTGGACTAGGAGGAAGCCCATATTTAGGCACTGCAGTGGAGGACACATGACGTTTGCCTAGAGGAAAAAAGCAGATTGGGGAGCTTAAACGTTAAGCCTGTGCATTAAATGGAGGGGAGATGCCCGTTCCTCCTCCACAGCAAATCAATGCCCGGTAAGCGCAGTGTCTCTCGAAGAGAAACGGCAGCGCAAGTCTTCCTTTTCTCCTCAAAAGTCTGCTAAATGTTCGGGTTTCCCGTCTGCGCTGTAGCAGAGCCCTGGCCGGAAGATCGCGCTCCGCCCTGCCATATAAGGTCGTGACTACATAAGGCATGATTCCGGTGGGTTTCCACTTCCATGCCCTTATTTGGAGTTTCCTGATGTAGCGCTGATCGGCGCTTGGCAGTGAAACGGAGGCTTGGGTGCAATTGAAGTCCAGAGCTCCGCACAATAACTAATGTCAGCACAATGCTGCCTCGCCCGTTCCAAGATTTATGAGAGAGAACTTTTTCCTCAATACTTAAGCAGCAGAGCCGATGGTTTCAACGGACAACTGCACGTAAATATTAAGTCATATTAAACTCAGCACACGTTAATTCGCTGCAGTTCGTTTTCTCGAAAGCTGCGCTTATTCTAATGAACAGTAAGTAATGCTTTACGATGCATATGCAGGAAAAATCGCTTATTCGTTTCGACATATAGCCGACTGATTGTATTACGAGCTGAATAAATTCCCACATGCACTACCACGCAGTTTTCCACATTAGCACAACGTTTGTTTTGTTTTGTGCAACATGTTGATGCGTATTTAAACATTGATGCACATAAACCATAGGCATGTTAGTGTACACGTAGTCTACATGTATGATTATTCTTTATAATAGTGAGTCTACATTGTTAAATCTTATTATTTTATTATTCAATCTTATTTTTGCTACAACAGCATTACAGCTGATTAGTTTATATTTTACAGCATGACGAATCAATACATAAATCACGCGTTCCTCCATTAATAGCATAAACATTTTCTCCCCATTCCCTGTAGTTTTATATTTAGAATTAGAATTGAACCCTATTGGTTAAGGAATGACACTTGGCTATTCGGTGCACGGCCGGCGCGTTGGCACTGATGGATGGTGGGTGCTGACAGAGGAGAGAGGAGATCTGTTTAATTGGGGGATGTCCCGGACTCGATACACAGGGATCCTCTCTGTCACTCAACTCCCGACACCAATGCAAATAAGCGCTGCAGCAGGCTCTCCGGACGCCGGTGGTGTACTGATGCTCGGTAAATTGAGGAGAAGAGCAGGGACTGCGCCGTTGCTTTGGCAGAGAGATCGATGTAACTTTGCTGACTCAATAGACGTTGTCAGAGCAGACGCAATTTGAATTTAACGCGAATGAAAACGATACTGCGAGGGCCGGAAGAACACATTTAGTGTGTTAGACTGTTGTTTAAAAATTTTCACAAATCGCACAAAATTTAAGACTTTAGACAATAACATATTGAGCTGTACTTTCACCAATAATATAATGATCTCACTGAACCAGAACCTGTTGCAAAAAAGTTTGGGACGTTGCTATAGACCCTTTTACTATGTTAAAATACTACTGATAAATTCAATAAAAGGACACATGTCACAAAATAATCACTTTTAATTTTGGGTTCACAAAAAAATCAGTTACATGCACACTTTTAGATTTTAGTAAACAACTGTAATAGAGGTAATACACATTTATATATATATATATATATATATATATATATATATATATATATATATATATATATATATATATATATATATATATATAAAGTATTTAGGAATATCAGCGCACATTTTTATGATGGCCTTTTACCCAATACTGATGAAAAACCAGAAATTCCTCTAGTGACTTGTCGAAATTTTCAATAGGCTAATTTAATGGTGTGAAAATAATGTGATGGACATGTTAAAGACTTGTGAATTAGCAGTTTTTTTTTTTTCATTTCTGAGTGTTCACACAAAAGCAGTTTATTGAGTAAGCAGGCTTTGTGATGTCAGTCAAGAAGTTGTTTCGCAGGTGCAGCAGGTTATTAGAGTGATGATGAAAGATTACATCAAAAATAATAGCATAAAACATTGCTTCAGAATAACATTCACAGTTAGACCAGGAATATCAAATGTACAATGCATCTTCTGACTGATCTTGCAATAAACTATATTATACTTATAGTTATGACAAAAACTGGCTAACTGAGATTTCAGTGCACATTTGTCTTCAAGTTGGCATGAAATCAAAACTTATTCTTCTTATTTTTTTACGGTAAATCTATACTTACTCTTATTTTATATGCATAATAATGCTTGCTATAAAGTATGTATTTGTGCACTTTATTATTTAGTTAAAAAATAAATTGCCCTCATCCATTTATTTATTTTTATTCGACTTGGTACCTTTATTCATCAGTGGTCGCCAGTGAAATTAATCACCAACTTATCCATATGTTTTACCAGCAAATATCCTTCCAGCTGCAACCCAATACTGAGAAACACCCATACACACTCATTTAAACTCATACACTACGGCAAATTTAGTTGATTCAATTCACCTGTCTATGGACTGTGGTGGAAACTGGAGCACCCAGAGGAAACCCACGTCAACAGGGAGAACATGCAAACTCCACACAGAAATGCTAAATAGCCCAGTCGGGACATAAACTAGAAACCTTCTTGCAGTGAGGCAACAGTATTAAGCACTGAGCCACCATGTTGCCAAAAATTACCCTCATATTTCTTAATCAAATACCATAACCTTCCCTCACCCTTTCTTAACATTTGGTCACATGGAATGCCTTTAGGCCTGGGCTATCAGTGTGTGTCTCGTTTCCACTACAGAAATCTGTGTCGACATCACAACAATTAGCTGCAATATTCAATATGGTGGTTAGTTATCAATGGGGTCGAAGGTCAGTATTTCTCCAGAACTATGCAAACTGACATTCAAATCTTCCTCAACAAATCTTCCTATATTTAGTTAGAAATGACCACGTTTCAATTGACAACTGAACAATCCAATTGGTTCCCAAAGAATGAAATCATCCACCACCCTAGATTTTGATCTCAATTTAGAAATTGTTTTAATAGGCTGTATATCAGAATAGGGGAATTAAAGACAATCTTAACTTCTGCTTCATACCAATATGGTCAGATGCTTTATTTCAGCATATTGATGTCTTTCCAACTGGAATATTGAGCAGGGGGTGGGGCTTTCTTTTTTGCATCATTCCCTTGTAGCAATCTAATTGTAGGAGAGGCTTGGTTATAAAAACAACCAATTTTAAAAAGAAATGCATATACAAAGAAAAACATGCACACCATCAATCAGTGTTCAACAGTCTGAATGACACTGGGATAAAAGAGTTTCTTAAGACTATTCCGCTTCAGCTAGACCATACCTGATGACACTCTCGAATACAGCCTGATAAAGTAATGATTTTCTTGTCAACACCACAGAACCATAACTTTCATAGAAAATAAAGTCTTTGGTGTAGCAACATTCCCAAATACTTATGACTGTACCTGCACTGTGAAACCCAATAAGTTAAGGTAACTCAAACCATTTGAGGAAACCAATTGCAATAAACATTTAAGTTCAAAAACAAATCTTAATGAGTACTTTGAACTTAATCCACTTGAGTAAACAAAGCAACTTGAGCAGAGTAAAACCCAATAAATGAATAGAACTCAAAACAACTGAGTGCTTTAAAACCCAATAAGTTAAAGCAAATCTAACTGTTTGAGGGAACCTATTGCTACAAACCATTTGAGTTAAAAAAAAATCTTTATGAGTACTGTGAATTTACTCCATTTAAGTTGAAGTAATGAGGTACACTCAAAAATAATTCTTTGCTTGTTCAAAATACTTAATTAAAATGAGTTGAAACAACACAATTATTTAGATTTAATTGGGACAACTTAATTTTTTAATGTTCAATCCACATAAATTTGTTAAGTTAACTTAATCGATTTGTGTTGGGTCAAGATTAATGAATTATGTGGAACCCTGCATTTTTTACAGTTATTTTATTAACTCATTACCTTCAACACTGAATTCAAAACTCTTTTCAAATGAGTAGAATTAACTTTCAGTAAAGTTTGAGTTAACTATACCCATTTCATTTGATAAAGTTGACTCTTGGGTTTTACAGTGTGAGGGATTTCTTGATTGTGTACAACCACTAGTAAATGCTCAAAAACACACTTGGCATCAAAGATTATTTCCTTTGTTTTTCATATATCTTTTAAAAAATGTCATCACACCGCTCAACAAATAAATTAATTTTGGAAAAATAGACAGAAAAGGATTGTGTAATATTGTGACTGAAGCCATCCAACTGACATCAACAGAGAAGGACTACCAATCTAAACGAGGAAGCAAATGGTCAGGCTTCGATTGAAGATAACCAAAGCAAGAGTGGGATAACTTGCACAGATTAATTGTTCACAAAAAGAATAATAATGTGCACTGGCAAAG